CTAAATGAATATAGAATCAGGTCTATAATTCTATGGCCAAGACTCTTAGTGCTTTGTTCATCGGAATAATCATATATTTTATAAACCAAACCAGAAACACTTTTGAGAGTGCAAAGGAGGAGGTTATTAATAATTATATTGGAACATCAAGGGTAAATCAGGGCTGTCCAGAGCAACCTGGGGTTTATGGCCACCCAACTCATCCTCCTTACTGGATTTTTCCAAATTGCAGAGCTCATGTAGATGTCAGTTGACTATTATTAATTTATTAACCATTTCTCACTAGAACTGTGTTAGGATATGAAGAAAGCATGGCAGATTTGTACTATTATCCTACAAACCATGTCTGTCAATTGGATATACAAGGGGAGAAACTCTAGTTCAAGGGTCCAGATTAACTGAAAAGTAACATTAATGAACTATTTCTAGCCATTCATGCTACAGTAGAGCCAAAATTATTCCAGGAAATAGGTATGAGTGATACACATCTACTCCTAGTACTCAGAATCTAGTTATAAGGAATCCTTCTTAGGATCTCTGACTTTATGGTATTTTTATCCATCATTCTGAATAGTTTGTCACTTTACTCTGTAACCTGTGACAGTTGACAGCTGTCATTTGGAAGAATTTGCTCTGGCTAAAGGCCAACAACCATAAAGAACAAGGCTGAGTGAGAGCCCCAGCTGACAAACTGCTCTGGCTTTCTTCACGGGGCACTAACATGTTATTATTTTTGAGAATCACCTTTGCCTATGACAGAACCTAACACCGGATCCTATATTTTTCATCATTCAATATATTTTTGCATAATATTTTCTGAAGCATATTTCTATCTGGAAAAGGTTACTATGTATTACATTGTACTGTATTGATCAGAAGCTTCCAAAGATGCTTAATGCTCAGCTAAGGAGAAACAAAGGCACTAAGAGAACTTGGATTAGTAATAATTATTAGAAATATTCCTAAACATCTACAGTCTACATTACACATTCTTCATTGCTTTCTGAAGTCTTCTTTCCCTAAGTGACCTTATAAGAAGCAGTGTTAACATGCCGGTTCAAAACATGGATTTTTGAGTCAGACTTCCTAACTTAAAATCCCTGCTCTGCCACTTCCTAACTGAGTTACTCTGAGCATATCAACTATCTTTAAAATGAGGATAATATTAGTAATTACCTCATGGTTGCTTGAATATTTATTGAGTTAATATGTTTAAAGTGCTTAGAGTAGTGCCTGGCATACAGTAAGAGCTTTTTAAGTGTTTGCTATTTACAACCTATAGATGGACACAAGATATAAAACTTGTCTCTGTATATAGATCCAATCAAACTCAAGGAGTTGAAAACCAAACTCTTCTTCTATAAAAAGTTGTGCCTTTTCATGGCAACCTGATGTTTGTGAAGCATGTCACCTCTATCCCCCTGGCCTCTAAATATTATCCTACGTTCTTTGTCCCTTTCTCTCCTCCCTCACATTGAGAAGTAGTCAAATCTTCTTCCAAAATTCATTCCCTTCTTTCTCTTTCCACTGTTACTAGCCTAATTTAGGCTCTCTTTACTCCTTGCCCAAACAAGTCCAGTAGTTTTCCTAACTTCTTGTACCTTCAGGCTACTCCATTCCAAACCAGTTTTGTATGGTTCATAGAACATTCATGTTAAAATCCTACTGTGGATCCTCCTTCCCCAAAATAATCTCTAACCTACCCGTCACAGCATTTAACATTTTTATAAGGTTCCAGCCTTTCTGCCTTTCTCCTTGGAGGTTCTTGACTTGTACATTTGTAATAGCGCATTACACTGCACTCTCTAACTCATAGTTTCTAATTAATACTTCAATGTCTTAATCTATGTGTCCTTCATATTTGTACTTCCTAGTAAAGTCCCTCCTCTTTACTGTACTTTACATTTTACTACATACCAGGCACTCCAGGATCACTGAATATTACTGTGTAATTTCTGCAGAAGTTTAAAGCGTGGGTCTATGCAAGCTAAAATCTAGTTGAACTCTGCCTGTCAAGCCATGTGACACTGTGTTACTGTAAAGAGGAGAGCCTATCAGAAGGGGTTGCCTCATTCTTTCACTCCCTCCAGTAGGCAAGCTATGCATCCTCTAATTCATACACAGGTACAGTTTAGGGTAAGACAGGCTACAGTAGCAAAAAGATTCAAGACTCTATAATGGCTCAAATATGAATGAAGTTTATCTCTTACATAATATTCCAAAGAGGGTGTCTTGGCTGGCAGGCAGCTCTCATGGTGATTCAGGGATGGATTTGCAGTGTGGCTAAGAGAGGATGTCTTCTATAGAGGCATGAGCAACCACAGCAGGTTTAAAGAACTGCAGATGGTTTTGTCTGGCTAGTGCATTGGAAACATGAGGCAGTATGGCAGAAGATGAGGCTAGCAAGATAGGCAGAGCTCAGAATGTGAATTTATCAGTCCTGTGAAGCATCAGACTTGGTCCTTCAAGTGATAGGAAGTCACTGGAGTTTGTTACTGTAATTGTCTTTATTATTTGGGGGGGATGGTTAATACTTGACAGAAATGTTAGAAAATCAGCACTGCCAGTAGTATGCGAGTTGAGTTGATTTGGATTGCTGTGAACAGAAAGTCAGGATCACCAACAAGGCAAATCTAACACTCCAGAAAAAATGTTAAGAGCTCAAAGTAGGGCAGTGGCAGTGGTGAGGGAGTGGTGAGGGAGTGGGAGGGAGAGGAAAAAGAGCAATTTAGGAAGCAGGTCAGAGGAGGCTTGGTGATTATTTAAATTCAAGGGATTAGAAAGAAAAGAATTGAGCATGCCCCAGCTTTCTGGCTGAAGTGAGGTCTGTGCCTACAAAAATCAAAACTTATGCATTTCTCTTTATTATCGACTTTATTTTATTCTGATCACTAGTGAACAAACTGAATGACAATAAATGCCCTTTCTACTAATCTTCCAAAGGCCATGCAGTCAGACCTTTCAAGGTGGACTATAAGAATCCATCATACTCTCGGGGCGCCTGGGTGGCTTAGTCGGTTAAGCGTCCGACTTTCGCTTAGGTCATGATCTCGCGGTTCGTGGGTTCGAGCCCCGCGTCGGGCCCTGTGCTGACTGCCAGCTCGGAGCCTGGAGCCTGGAGCCTGTTTCAGTCTGTGACTCCTTCTCTCTCTGACCCTCCCCTGCTCACGCTCTCTCTCTCTCTCTCTCTCTCTCTCCTAGAAATAAATAAAACATTAAAAAAAAATTTAAAAAAAAAAAAAAGAATCCATCATACTCTCATAATAAACTCTCCAGGATCCTTATTGGTTAAATAGAAAAGTAACGTGCAAAAACTGGCTGTAACTTTTCAACGATGGTTGCCTGACTCAAACATCACCAAAGAATACCTACTGGTGGCTCAAAATAGAATTAGCTTTGCCTGTTCTGAAGATGCTATTCATTATTCATTGTCTTTGTTTTAAAAAGAATTGGAATGTGAAAAATCTGCAGTCCTCAATAAAAATCAGCATATATTAGAAGATACTTGCTCCTTATGGCTGCTGAATATTATAAAGTTAGAAGCAATCACAGGGAGTTGCATTTACTGATCTATTTTCCCAGCAATATGGAAAAGGCACATTGGCCCCTTAGATCCATCCCCCAAGAATGAAAGGAACTGGAAATGATTTGACTCTTCACTGAGTCTTCACTGCCATATGAGCCTGGCTGAAGATGGCACTCTCAGTTGAACTGGCACAGCTCTGCAGCATTGGAATGATATTTCTTGACAGGGTTGGATGGCATATGTAGTTTTGTATATTGTTCTGGTGCTTCTTAAATCAAGCTGCCCAATTTAAGCCAAACAAATGTTCTATGCTCCACTGTCCCTTCAAATCAACCAGTCCTTTGCTTGGTCAAATCATACCCCACTGACTGTGCTCTGCAAATTTTCCATGGTGCTGAAAGAAGACTTTCATTAAAATAGACATTTATAAAATAATACATTCAAGTACACTTTCAATATTTTTATTTAATTATATTATTCCTATAGTAGTTAACTATTTAAATTTTTTACTGAGTAGATGAGTGAACTTTATAAATCTGTATAAGTGACTATAATTGAAAACAAAAATGGTTCTCAAATCAGTTTCTAGACTGCTTTATATACTGAAAACAATTTACCTGCATTTGTTTCATTTAATCAAAGAATGTCTAAGTTATCACTGTAACTTTTGTGCAAGAGAGGAGACTAACTTGATACACTGAGTGTTGGGCATTTCCTCCAACATGATGAGTAGGCAAGTCTTCAAACTACTGTTGGTTTGTTCTTTACCATAATCAGATTTGACACATTTAAACACAGTTTTGGATAATTTTGTCTTAAATTTTAGACTTGTATTTGAACTCATAAGGGTGACCCACCATTATCACTATTGATCTAGATCATTTCTAAGATTTTCTACCAATCATTCAAATGCAAGATCTTAGTCATGCCCTGTTTCTCCTGTATTCCTGGATGTTAGTCCCCAAAGCCTGCCAGGAAAAATTTTGGCAAAACTGGACTCACAACTGATGATTCCTAGTGTGTTGCACCACAGGGAAAATAGCTCCATTTTGAAAATGGCATGGAGTAACTTGTGTAAGTCATTGGCATCTCACAAATCATACCCACTGGGTCGCATCTAAGGTTACCTGAAGCTATGCAGGAAGGCAACTCACATAATATATAGACTATCTGGGCCTATAAAAAGTTCTAATTGATAATCTAAATGTCTTTAGAGTTCCATAGTGGGAAAGAGAAAAGGTATGATCAAAGAATTAAAACTTAACGACATGGTTAAAGTTGGTGTTATGTGTGTCCTGAATGTGCCCATCTTCACATATTCATATGTTGAAATCATAACCCGAGTGGGGATAGCATTAGGAAGTAGAGCCTTTGGGAGGTGATGAAGTCATTGGGTAGAGCCCCCATGAATGGGATTAGTGCCCTGATAAAAAGAGACCCCATAGAACCTTCTCACTGCTTCTTCCATGTGCAGACACAGTGAGAAGATGGGCATCTGTGAAGTAAGAAGAAGGCTCTCATCTAATACCAAATGTGTCCATGGCTTGGACTTCTGAGCCTCCAGAACTGTGAGTAATAAATTTTGTTGTTTAAGTCACCCAACCTATGGTATTTTTGTTATAGGAGTCCAAACAGATTGACAGTTGGTGTTAAAGCGGAATACCCCTAGGGAAAAGACTACGTGGATTCGCATGTTCCCATTCCCATTTATCTTCCCTCAACATTTTGAGAGGTTTATATTATAAAGTGGACACCCCAGACTTCAAAGCTTTTCCCTACTTTATATTTCCTGGTGGGGACCCACCCCAGCTGCATGTTCAAAATCTCTCCTTTGGCAAGTGCTCAGCACATCTCTGTCGAGTAAGAGGATAGAATATGCCTATGGGCCATTTACATTAGCAGAGCTCTCTATTCATTTACCATAATGTGTGTTGCTGCTTTCTGGCCTCCAGCAGTTTGCTTCAGGTAATTCTTGATGTCACTTCCTATCTTAAGGTTTTTCTTTGAGCTCTGACCTATGCACTCTTTGGAGAACATAGAATTGCTCCATCCTGTTTTAATATGATAGCTCTTTCTAGCCTCTTAGAAAACTAGGAGAAGTGGAGGAATATATCCTCCATTTCTGGTCACTTTGGAAACAGATGAAAATTCTTTAGTCATTGGATCGGCCTATTTTGCCTCAGATGAATCTTGGGTCTGATAAATAAGACTTTTACTCATTTTTTAATGTTTAGAGGTTTTTTCCCCTGTGGTCAGTATTATTTAGATTCATTTTCTTCTCCTTATTCTTTTCTTTGCTTTTATTTCTTCTCTGTAGCTCTGCTGTCAGCTCCTGCCAAGTTTCTTTATCATCTGTCTCTATAGCCAACTTAACTTTCTGAGCCAATGGTGTCAAAGCAGAATGCATATGGCTACTGTCAATCTCACATGGTGTAACTTGGAATTAATTTCTGATGCCTACCAGATATTTAAACCACGATCAGAGTAAAACTTGGGTGGCCTTACCATCTCTAAATTAAAGGGCTCTCTCCTTAACCCTCTATTCTCCCGCCTGCTCTTTTAGATCAAATGGAAAACCTCAGAGTCTGCCAGTAAGCACAGCGTGTCTTCTGTCTTTTCCCCAGCCTCTTACCTACCTGTCTTCTAAGCCTTGGGCCCAACCCCCACATTCCAGCCTCACCTGTTCATGGGCTAACACCCTTGCACTTGCTAATCCCTTGCTTCCTTTCTCTTCAAATGACTGTCTGCTCTGGTTCTAACCAGAGGTAAGGCAATCTTCAAACCCAAAAGAAGCTATGTCAGAAAACTCTCTAGCATTTGTTGTATACACTATGACCAACCCTCCTATTTGCTGGGGCTCAACATAAGCTTGGACAGTATCCTCTGGATATTGCCTTCACCCTAGCCAGACACTTGAACCAACTTGGCCAGTGCCTTTTATCTTAGTAAATGTGCCTCTATATAGTTTAAGCTCACTGTCCATCCACCCCAGATGTCTCTGTTTTAATGCCTCAAACCAAAGTTCATGTGGTATCACCACACCCAATCTAGATCCTGTGCATTCTCTCTGAACTCACTTTTCATTAGATACTAGCTGACAACCTGCTTATTTCTTCTTTACTCTTATCCTCTCTTTTAAATGAACCCTCCCAACTTCCCTACCATACAACACACCAGCTCAGTAGAGAACATATTAAAGAAACCTCAATTTCTTTGTTGTTGAATAACTAGTTAACTAGCTCTTTAAAAGAATACACCTGCATCACAATGGCTTTAGAAGTTTTTCCCCCTTTAACTTGTTTACTCAGAACTCAAACTAAAGTAGCATTAATATTTATTAATAATTCACTATTTGCTAGTCACTGGGATCATAATTCAGTACTTATTCAACTTTCACAATGTCCATTGAGGAAGATATCATTTTAACCCCACTTTCTCTGGAAGAGCATTGGACCTGGAAGATTAAAAATATGCCTATGGTCAGCAAGATAAGTGATAGAGAAATGTGAATTCTTGCTCTTATCCTCATACTCAGTATTGCATGCCCTGAAAAAAGTGCTCCTTATCCTTTACAGCCTTTTAAGTCCCACTTAGGTATTAGTTTCCCAGGAGATAATTATTTAACTCATTCATCAAAGATTTTCTGAGCACTTAGTAAGTGCCAATGACTGTACTAAGCCCAGGGGATCTATCAGTTAACTAAAAAGGTAGGATTCACTCAGTTGCACTCAGGTATAAACATATCTCTTCTGATTTAACGAAAACATCTGCCCCAAAAGGAGGTGATCAGTGTCTTGGGGAAGGTTAGGCTCCCCCACAGCAGGCTCCAAGCACAGATGGCCATATTGTCATCCCCTGTGGCTGGGGCTTTCACCATAACTTCTACATTTGGTCATAAATGGGGCATTTTAAGTTAATCTACTGAGACTCTGGAATGTCAGAACCAGAAAGAACAACTGAGGTCACCTGGTTTAACGGCCTTACTTTAAAAATGAAAATAAATAAACAACATGCTGAGAAGTTAACTTTTCAAGATAACATAAATGTGTAGTGAAAAAATCACTTTTTAAATAGTTTTCCTAACTCCCCAGCAAGTGTTTTTACTCATACATCCCATAGTGTCCTAAGGAAAGGATGGGGTATATATGTTGAAGCCAAAATTTCCACGGCTGTAGGCAAAAATCTCCTAACCATGGATCCCCTTCTCAGAACAAAGCTCTTTATTTTAAGCCATTGCCCATAAAGCACTTCCAGAGTTTTTCAATGCAGTATCTATCTAACAATTAGGCAATGGGACATATGTAGATTTATATGACCAGCACATATTATGACTGGTTGTAGCCAGTGATGTATAGACTTAGTACCCATCTCCTGTTTAAAGTGGGATAAGAACCAGACAGCTTACAGAACGCTGTCTCTCCTGTTGAGCCTCCTTATTAATCAGCATCATCACAGATTTCTCTTTTCTAGACCTTCTCATTCATACACGCCTAGGCAGCATTGTTGGGTTTTGCCATTGAGGATATTAGGTTAGCATGAACTCAGTTCCAAATATCCACCACATTCCCCCCATACCAGTTTACCACTTTTGCAATTTATCCTAGTGTTTAGGTGTATAGTCTTCTTGCCTCCCCCACCCCACCCCTGGCTGTGCAGTTTTTTTTCTCCTTCTGATATAATTGCTTTGTGCTATATTTAATGCCTGTACATTAGCATTAATATCCAGCCACACAAGTGAAGATGCCACTGTGCATTACTTCCACCAGGTACAGTAGGGGTTTATTTGGCTAATTCCCTTTGGGGATAGGGAAACAGATGCAAACACACTAAGAAAAGGGCTGAACCTTTTCTCCACAGTATACCAAATACAGATCTTTATAAGATTTTTATGTGCATGATTTTCTTCTTTTGCTTTTTACCTACTTTTTGCCTTTGGTTTTGGCTGGCACACAAAGCAACTTAAAAAAAGGGAGGCTCACAAAATAAATGTTCGCCTGAAAAGAACATGCTCTTAATATAAAAAGAAACACAAAAGATCAACAACATAAATTAGTCTTAGAAGACTTCCAATTGCCTACAACAGTGCCTAGTACATAATGCATGCTCCAAAAATTGTTTAATGAATAAAACCAGATGTAATTTCTTCCCTTCTGGCCAGTCTTCCTTTGGCTGGATAGGAATGTCACCAATGCTAAGAAGGCCAAGACCATGAACCAACGAGAGGGTATTGTCATTGCAGGCTATTTATTGACACAATTTCTTTTTTTCTTCCTTTTTAACTTTTGGTTTGTGAACTCTTCTCTTCCATACTCTCCTCCCCCTCCCCTTCTTCCTTTTTAGCACCAGTCTCTCATTTGCCTTTTTTATTTGTTTAAGCACTCAGACCACAGTTTTTTTGTTGTTGTTGTTGTTTTGGTTTTTTTTGTTTTTTTTTAGGTACAATAAATCACTGCTTTATTAGAACAAAAAACTGATGTATTCAAGGTTTTTTATCCAAGGCAACTTTTTTTTTTACTTGGGCTTAACTTTGTTTTTGTGAGAAAGGGAATCACAAAATGCAATATTTAAGTGGTAAAAATTTTATTTAATGCATCTGCTAAATCTCTAAGATTATAATTTTATTCAGTTAAGGAAATGGGGATGGTCTGTGGGAGAGGAAGAGGATGGCGGCATATGGGAAAAAGCATTAAAATGGGTGAACACACTCCTAAGTATCAGAAAGAGGTGAGAAAGAGAAACAAGCTGACTGTGAGGAACGTGGGCTAGAGACTGAAAAATCTATGGAAGGAAAAAGGTTCAAAAGGAGGGGAGTTCCATGTGGACCTTCAAAGGTCTTTCTGCAGAATTGTTATGGGATGAGCAAGGCAAATGCAGAGGGTGGGGCTCCTCTCTGCCTCACATCCACCAGAAACAGAGGCTGTTCTCTTTTTAAAACCCAGATCCCATCTATGAATCTTACTTCCATCCCCTTGGTCCTTCAGCTGCTTCAGAGAGAAAGCCAGCTGGACCAAGAGGATGCTTCTAGGATGATATCCAAAATCAGAGAACTCTGTGCAGGAGCTGTTCTGCCTGTTATAAACGAGAGCAACTCAGCTGAGGGGATTCACAGCTAATAAAACCCTACCCACTAATACAATGTCTAGCCAGAGTTGATAGTGCACATGTAGATGACACTCAGCCTGTGTCCACTCTAACCGGTCAGCGCCGATGCTTTGTTTATTTTTTATGCATTACTAGCTACCCACGGATAGGAACTGAAAAAAACGAAGTCATTACTCTAGATTGCAGGTGCCTCTAATTCTTTTAAATATAACAATATAAGCAAGTTAGGTTCATTCATTCATCCAACAGATGTTTATTAAGGGTTTATTATTGCCAGGAAATGTGCTACGCAATGGGAAATAAGGTTTAAGATAGAATTGGTGACCTGAACTTGGGGTACTTTATATACCATTCTTAAAGACTATATTTTGTTCTGCTTTTAATAGGTAGCCAATGAAGAGTTTTAAACAGGGGAGCAGTCTGATCAGACTTCTACTCAGATATATCACTTTGCTATCCAGATATA